TTTAAACGACGGGATTAAGCATTCTTTGAAAATTGGACAATATGTATAAAATTATAATGGGCAGATTTCATTGAGTTTTGGAACATTACCTGGAGAAAGCAGTGCCTTGTTGAGGCTTGTTGGAAAAGCTGTGAAGAAAGGGAAAAAAAGAAAATACCAAGACTTAAAATTTACTGCAATTGACCATGGCCTGTGGCTTCATTTTTCCAAACAACACTTCATTCTTCTACTTTGCCTGGATACATTGCACAATTCATTATGAAGTCATTGGAGCATAATCTAAATACAAAGCACCTCAATGGTAATTTTCATTTTGATTCATTTTTAATATTTTGAAAAGTAAATTCAATGTAAGTAATGGTAACTACATCAACAATTATTATCCAGGGGTTAGTTGGAGCCAAAATAAAATGAAACAAAAGGTGTGTTCACCTGATGAGGGTACATTGTACAGTTGGGGTTGTTTGAGGGGTTTGCCTGGGGAGGTTGCTGCTGCTGGCTTGTTGCTGGCTGGCTGGTGTTGGTTGTTGTTTCCTGTGGCTGTGCTGCTGCTGTTGTTGTTGCTGATACTGCTGGAGGGCTGAATTAATCTGAGACTATATACATTACAAACAACATGGGAGAGATAGTAGTTGATCAAACAGTGTTAGGTGTGGTCGTGGAAAGATGAACAGACTGCTGAGTGTGCTTAGGACTGCCCTGCTGCGACTGACCTGCTGATATCGGCACCCGGCAGCCGCTGCAGCTTGCTGCTGCAAGGCCGCAGTTTGCTGAGACAGCTGATAGTTTGCAGCAGACTGGTTGCTGAGCGATACCGCAGCCAAAGCTGACTGCTGAGAGTAAACAGAAGGAGATGCTCCCAGAAGAGATGGCTGCTGCACACCAAGAGCTGCAGAGAAGGAAAATAAGGCAAAAGAAACACTGAATAGGGAGCATTGATAGAATAAGATATCCCATGATATCAGAGAGAAAAAGTCCATTATTACTAAAGAGTATGACAGTAAGTATTTGTGTGATTGTTCACCCAGTAAGAGAGGGAATGAAGCAGCCCAGAAGTTCTGGTTTGCTATACTCACAGTGCAGGCTGTTGAGGTCCAGAGACTGTCCTGAGTGGCCCGGCTGAGACACCGCTGTGGCGGCAAATTGAGTCGCCCACGGCGGATTCTTCTGTCCCCCGAACTGGGCCATGACTCACTCAGGTTAAGGGAAGTCTCTACTCACCAGGCCGATGCGTGTCACTAAAAACAAAACAAACACCAACCCATAAATGAAGTATATTAAGTAGGAAGTCCAAGAGACGTAAGGGTCAGAGGACATGGAGATGATGTGATTTGTACACAACATTTTGTTTAACTGACAAACTTGGGCTGTATACACATAATGCAGTTATTGCACTGCCCGTAACCTACTCACTCAGTCACTATTTACTTTGCAGTGCAGTAGGTTAGATACCGTGTGTGCTTTTTCCAGCCAAAGATAGCTGAACGGAGGTCAGTTTGCAGACAGGGAATACAGCAATGTGCAATTATTTGTTTGTTACAAATAGGCCAATTTATCTAATAACATGTTGGATTCATCGTAATGTGTATTTTCAGACATATTTTCATTTTTTTTAACTTTAAAAAAAAGAGAAAAGAATCAAACAATCATTTGGAAACAACTCTGAGGACCCAGAGTCAAAACATAGAGCTAACTCCTGTAAACTCCCTTTTAAAATGAGCCTTGTTTCACATACTCTGAATCAAATAATTAATCAATGCACAAAAATCAATTATTGCCATTTGTTTTCCATTTTAGGACTTTGGGGACATTGTTGAAATCCTTCTAGCCGTTGCAACCATCTCAAATTCTGACACCGACTGTAAAACATACTGCACAGCTTGTTTTTTTCTAAATGTATGACAACAGTCAACATATTTTGCAGTCTTCCGACACAGATAGGGCGGTTTCTGCAGATGGGGCAGGTGAATAAAGTCAGCAAACACACGACTACACATTATTTCTCTCGCTCTGTGCACCGATGTGTTTTCTATTTCTCTTGCAGCAGTTCTGTCCACTTCCATGTAACCACAATACGCCGTGAACACGATGATCCACCCATCCCCCTGTATCATCCCAAAGGTAGGCCCTACTCAAGCCCTTTCATTGTATTAGACAGCCTCTCCCAGTGGAGAGACAAGTGAACTGTTCATTTACAAGAACCTGGGGGCCTCGATGGGCTCGTTTACCCGGGCCCCCAGGGTCTATGATCGCCACTGACAAAAACAATACTCATCTCAGCACCAAAACTGCATGAGAAGAGCTTATTTGAGAGAATACATTCACTGATTTGCAGGAACCTTTACACGTTGTTTACTGGACAAACCACAACAACCTTCAGCTACAGTCCCTAACACCAGAATACAACAGCAATAAGCCATTTAAAAGAACCACTCAGGCACGTTTTCTTTAATAGAAGTGACCTACTCGTACACAAGAACTATAAAATACCCCCCCCGTGGTTTGTGCAGTGCTTAGATCAGTAACTGCTGACACAGCAAACCTCGACGGGCTCAGTGGCAGTTGGGCTAACGCTAGCCACTTTAACTGACAGTAGGCTAGCGCAGGCAGCTAGCTCGCGTTTTTGTGTCTGCTCAGCAAGCCAGTGCTGCTGTTGTTGTGGTTAACAGCAGCCAACGAGCGCCTCAAGTTACTGCGGCCTCCGTCGACATTATTAAAACACACACACACACACATTACAGCATGGCTACTGTGGCAGAGCTAACACTTTAGCACTCGCTCGACGTTAGCTTTGTTGCCAGATTAGCCTCGTGCTGGACTTGTTATCGAAAGCGAGGCCCGAAAGAACGTCCGTTGGCTCTGTGGCAGTTGGTATCCAACGGCTGATATTTTAGGAGCATAGCAACGCGCACTCGCATATGCAACCGTCTGCAGCTACTATCCTGCGTGCAATTAATACCTGTACTTCACATGTTCCCAGTAAACGTTCACGATAACGATCGTAGTGAGGTTTAAATTAAAACATTATCCACACTGCTTACCGATGTCCCCTGCGCCGGCCGATGTAGACATAAACTGCGCATGCGCGGGAGCTGGAGATACCTATCCGTGCTGCAGGCGATATTCCGTAAATACAAGAAGAAGAAGATATACTTCATTGATCCCATAGGGGGAAGTTGTCTTTTTTTTTTTTGTATACACACACACAGGCTGAAATGCACACTTCATGCAAAGGGGAAAGATGGGGCTTCAACGCCTCATGAGCAGGTGTTGGGGTTAGTTTGCCTTGCTCAAGGGCACCTC